ATTAATATGGCTTTTGCTTTGTTTTTAACCTGGGTGTGATCTTGATTATTTAAAAATCATGAAAAACAGGAATTATATTTGCAGAGTTTAGCACAAGTGGTTGTACATTAGTGGCCTGTAGATTTCACATAAAAACCTAAGTTTCTAAATTATTTTGAAAAATTGATGATCTGACATCTGACACGCTTCGTCCACACTCGCTGGCCTTTTCCTAGGGCACCGGCTCTCCACTGTGTCCCCTCTGTCCACTGTGTCCAGAGTGTGACAGGTACCTCCCAACCTCATTCCTCCTTCATGTCCTCAAGGAAGATCATCCTGAGACCCAGGTCGGTTCTTCAGAGACAAAATGGATCTAAGGCAGAATATTATTCTTGCAAAGCCCAGGCCAAAAGCTGGAATATGACATAGGACAACCAAATGCTCTGGGCTCCATCTCAGGTGGTCAGGGAGATCTTGGATCTCCAGAGAGAGGACACCAGGTATCCCTTCTACCATAGCCAGGCATTCCCTGTAGCCCACTGCTATGTTTGAATGCATCCCCTAAATTTTATGGGTTGGCGACTTAATCCCCAAATTCATATGCTAAAATTAGTTGGAGGAGGAACCTGTGTGAGGTGATTAGGCGATAAAGACTCTGTCCTTAAGAGTGGATCAATCCATTCAGAGATTAATGGATTGATAGATTGATGGGTTATTAAGGAAATGACTTTGTTTTAAAAGTGACTTCTCTTGGCAAGATTGCTCTATCTTGCCATGTGATGCCCTCTGCCATGTTATGATCCAGCAAGAAGGTCCTCACCAGGAGCGAAGCAGATGATGACACTATGCTCCAGGACTTTCCAGCCTCCAGAACTCTGACCTAAATCTGCCTCAATTCTTTATAAATTACCTGATCTCAGGTATTTTGTTATAGCAACAGAAACAAATTAAGATGCCCGTAGAAGTAGCTGTATAACTGCATGAGTAGGAATGCTGACCCCATAAAAAAAGCACCCATAATGTCAATTATTTCAATTTATTTGTTTCATTAGAAAATAATACCATTTGAGAGGTGGGTAATACTCCCCTGTGAGGAGATGAAGGGATGATTGAGGCCTTTGGGTCCAGACTCAGCACTTCAAGCGTAAGCCGGAGGGAGGAAAGGCCCAGTCACCTACTCAAAGGTGGGTATGCTCATCCTTTGAACGCATCTCACCACCAGGAGAATGACACCAACTTGTTATCACCGTCAGAGGGACTTCAAGACAGGATGAGCCTGCAGATCTTTGGGTTCACTTTCAGGCCTGCCTCAGCTGCAGTTTCATTTTGGGGGCCAAGGGAATGACCCTAGGGTTGGACTGGATTGAGCAGAATTGTCTCCTTAATCATCTGGAAGTACATGTCACTTAGGAAATGAGGGTAAATGAAGCCAAGAAAAGGAGCCAAGGCTCATATCCAACAAGTAACATCATGAGACAGGCCTGAGGGGAGGGTGCTGGGCTTTAGTCAGGAAACCACGCTTGACACCCAAGGGTGGAGGGATGGAGAGCTAACTGGGTGGAGATGATGAGACTGGACAAGCATAGGGATCCAAGACGGATGGTCCAGAGGATTTGAGGCATGGGAAACGTCCAGCCTGCTTGACACCAAAGTGCTCATTTAGTTCTAGGTAGGGGAGGCTAGGAATTGACCAGATCAGAAGCACCTAAAACACAAACTAGCCTTATACTGACCACTAAGACCTACCTGGGGCTCCTCCCAAGTTCTACAGAGACCAAAAGCTTTCAGGAACCCATACAGGGTTAAAAAGAAGACATCAAACAAATGGAAGTTCACAAGAGCACTTCTAACTTCAGGAAAAATAAGATTAATCAGTGGAAGTAGGAACTTTTAAAGAAAAGAATCAGAACTTCTTCTCTTACAAACAAAGCTTGAACCTCTTAGCAATCACGACTCTGATTGCAAGGATCTCGTTCAAGTGCCTGGAGAGTCTTTTACTGCCAAGAACTGCGGCACTTCACATAGAGGAATTACTCGGAATTCAGCTCTGGTCTAAATCAGCCCAGACAAAAGCCTTAGACAGTTTCCAGACTGAACTCTGCATCAGGTTTTTTTGTTTCTTAGAGGGAAAATGTGATTTTTAAAGTATAGACTGAATTCACAGTCACTGAAGAAAATCTGTGAAATACATAAAAGTATTAAAAATAAAATAAATACCCATATCCAAAACCTAGAGATGGTTTACATTTAAAATTTTTTTTTTCAATTTTTCCATGTGCATACCTATGCTTTTTCTGCTTGAAAATCCGGCATCATATTACATTTTTAAAAAGTTGCCCCATCCTCTTTCAGTTACTATACCAGGAACATATACTATACCATTCCTTAATTATGCCTTGAGACAAAAAACGTTTTCATGGGTCCGTAAGATCGTTTTTTATTTATATGCCATTTTAACCATTTTTACTAGATGATCAATTAGGTTGATTCAATTTTTTATCATTTCAAATCAGATTCCAATGAACATCTATGGGTATGATCCCTGAACATCAGTCTGATAATTTCCTTTGGAGAAATTCTTGGAATATTAAGAATTGAGAACTTTTTTTTTTAAGACAAGAAATTGGTTTATTTATTATGTTTGTGTTCCAGGTGCTCTATTAGGACTTGACAAGAATTGAGGACTTTTTAATACCCACTCTCAGATTGCTTTTCAAGATGGTCATATTCTTTATATTCACACTAATAGTGAACAAGTGTGTTTGTTTCATAAATCATTAGTGAACACTGAGCCTCACCATCAAAAAGAAGAGAGAAAAAAAATACCCTTTGTTCATTTGTTAGTTGGAAAATAGATCTAGCATTTTTCTTTATATTTCTGTAATTATTAGACACTTTTTCATATGTTTATTTAATGTTTTTATTCTATGGATTATAATCTTCATCATGTACCTATTTTTTTTTCCCTATTGAGGGTAATCACTTTAATATTGATCCAGTTTTGGCATGGAAGGATCCAAAAGGAATCATGATGTTAAAAGCCTTTAAACTTTCCAAAGATTTCTCTGAAATATAATGTGAAGGAAATAGGTGGCTCTTCTGGAGCAGAGTATTTCAATGCATGGCTGTTGAACCCTTTTGCAAAAGATTCAAAGGGTGGGAGCAGGGAACGCGAATGTGAATTGCTATACCTTCACACACAGCACAGACTCAGGAACTCACATCCCCATTCTCTCTCCGTATGCTTCGTATGCAGCCCCAGTTTGACAACCATTATGACTGTTAAGGTCAATGAACCTGATATTCCCATACCCTCGGAACCAAAGAGGAACCCAAACACTTGTACAAAGGAGTGAGCCTAACAGTGAACAGAAGCTAAATGGGCTTTTTAGCCTCTTGACCATTGTCCTTTTACTTGATTATTGCATTACCATCCATTTACTCAGTCATCCTCGATACCTTCTTATTCCTTGTCCCCTTTGTTTTCTCATGTTTATTTGCCTACAAATATCTTTTAAGTCTCTCCTTTTCTCTTTCTCATCACCCCTTAGTCACTTATTATCTTCTTTCTGCTTTTTCCTGTTTATTCTACTCATAATCTCCAAGCACCCCCAAAACATTCTAGGTAAGCAGTGTATTCTAAATAGTAATTTGTCTGGAAGCTTCTGTTTGCTATGATTCTAAATGAGTATCCTCCTCACCTCCCACCTTTCCAGTTTTTTTGCAACCCCAAATCCTTCCTTATTGTAGTGGAAGAATGAGAGACTGGAACTTTTAGAGATGCTAAAGGATCCAAAAGGAATCATGATAAACACCAGAGAACATTAGGGAAGTTTGATTAAGTATGAAAGAGTGAATGCAGTTCAAGAAGCAGCTGTGACCATAGTTCAAGACCCTGGATATCAAACAGCTCTGAATGGCTATTCCATCGAAGGTATGGCCCTAAGAATGGGTTGCTGAAGGACCTGAGAGGACAGGGACATGCGAGACCACATTGTTGAATGGGTCATCTGCACAGACCCTGAAGTGGCTCATATGTATGCTATTATTCAGAGAACCAGTGAATATGAACAGCTCAGGGTAATCTTTCTCCATTCCTGGAAAAAACAACTTAGAGCAAAGGACAAAGGGTTACTGTGTTGTTCCTTCCACGTAAAAGGAAATAATAATTTTGATGGATTTGGTGGGACATTTAAGAGCCAAGTCAAACTGTGTGCGTAATTGTTTTGTAAAGGTGCTAGGACTTAATTTTCAGATCTGGAATGAGAACAGGTGGTGGCTGATGGCAGGAGTCACAATGGTTTCCATGACGACGGGATTGGGTTTTAGTCATCTTCCCATCCTTCACAAAACCTACTGCAGCTTTTCTCATAAGGTGCTTATTAAATACTTGTTAAATGAATGATGAGCCACTGAATGGTGTGTGTGCTTTGCAATTAAAGCTGCCGTTCTTTCGCTAGCGTAAAAGCTTTTAAAGCAACAATAATTACTGTATTTACTCATGATATTTTGCATAATTTGCATAATAACTTAACTGAAAACAATAAACTATATACTCTCATTCCTGCTTCATATCGTATTCTCTATTAGGGAGGGGTAGCCCAGATGTTTGATTAGAATGGCCTTAAGAGCGGGGAGTGGGCTCCAAGGAGGTGCGTCCCGTGCTGCATTCCTGCTCCCCCATCAGCTAAAACGCCCCTTCGGTCCCCACTATCGAAACCCTCCCCCGCCTGGGCACTGCGCAGGCGCCAATCTGCTCCCTCCGGCCCCCGCCGGAACCCCACTTCCCGCGCTAAGGCTGGAGTTCGCGGTCCAGCACCCAAGCACAAAAGGCCGGGCTAGCTGGCGTCCCGCGTAGTCCTTAGCAACCATTGATCGGAGTCTCGTTCTCACACGACCCTGAACTGAGACAGTAAGCGGAGCAGCCATTGGCTGGCCTGGGAAGACAGGCCAATCGGAGAAGAGATTATAGGGAGGCGGCTGAGCGAGGTCGGGGTAGGGGTTGAAAGCTAGGGTTAGAGGCAACCCGTGAGGCTAGAACCCCGAGCGAGGTCGGTTGGAGCAAATATGTCTTTCCGGAGGCACATTGGGAATCCTGAGGTGAGGGCCAGGTCCGGACCTCAGAGCCGGACGGGGCGGGCGCACCGGAAAGGGCGCCACGTGGACAGGGACGACCAGACAGCTACTTCCGCCGCCCGGAAGGCGGGAAGCGGCCGGCGTGAGGAGGGGTCGGAGCTCAGGGCCGGGGGCGGGGGAAGGCCTGGGGATCCAGGCCACGTTTAGCGTCTGGTGGTGACAGTCCCCAAGTATGGACTGGACGTCCAAATATGGTTTGTCGCCGCGAGGCGCGAAGTACATAAAGTCACAGCCCCTACCTTCAAAGGGCTTACAGTCTAGGAGTGACAGTTGCAAAACTAGTGAAATACAAAGGAAGCTCTGAGCACTAGAGAAACCAGAGGAAAGGGAGCCATCATTTAATGGTGTTGGTACAGGAAGAGCAGAAACAAGCAGACCAACCCATTGGAAAAGGGGACAAAACAGGGATTTACTTTTACCCCCCACCCCCTTCCCTAGGACTTCTAACTTCTTCATCTATCTCACCCTAAGTGCTTTGCTGCATTCGTGTCCATCTAAGGTCAACAAATATTAGATGCCTACCATGCAGTAGGTGCTAGACTTAGAGAACAAGACGAGGCCTCCGCCCTTTAGGAAGTCAGTCTCAAGGAGACCTGTAAACAAGATTTTAATACACAAAGACCAAGGGAGGAAATGAGAGAAGGGTCCTGGGCATTTCAAGGCCATTCATTAGGCCGGTGAAAAAGCATCCCTGGTAGAAAAGCATGAGCAAACAGTTGAGTGTTGAGCTCTTATCAGTCCCTTGCAGGAGTCTATAGAGACTAAAGTTGGGAGGGGTCTTCTATATCTTGCTAAAGTTCTTAGCCTTTATCCCAAGGTGAGTTGCAATTCTTTCATCTCGGTGAATCCTTGGTACAGTGTTGAGAAAGGCTGAGTTCAGGCTGTGCAGAACACCATGATCAATTAGTAAATCTAACTTAATCAATCTAATACTGTATAATCTCACATGTGAAATCTAAAAAAATCCAACTCAAAAGCTGGGGTTGGGAGGTGGGGTGGGGAGATGTTGGTCAAAGGATACAAAGTTTCAGTTAGGAGGACTAAATTTTTGAGATGTATTGCACAACAGAATGTCTACACTTAATATATTGTATATATTTCAAACAGCCACGAGTGAATTTCAATGTCTCACCACAAAAAAATTAAGTGACCTTTTGGATAGGTTAATTAGGTTGATTTAATCATTCCACTGTGTGTGTGTGTGTGTGTGTGTGTGTGTTGCCCATGCATCAAATTGTGCCCTATAAATACATACAATTATGGTTTGTCAAAAAAAAAAAAAATGTTAGTAAGAAATATCTCTGGGGAGTAAGGGGGTAGATTACCAGACTACTAGAGAGTAGAAGTTTGCCACATAATTAATTCTCTTACCTGCTGGTCAGAATTTGAAAAGTTTTAGTAAGGAGTGACATGGGTATTTACATGGTCAGATGACTGTAACCGCATGAAGGAGAATGGACTTGTGGAGGCCAGGACTAGAGATAGGGAGATTGGTGAGGTAGGTTATTTGATACAGATCTAAACTGAGGCCACTGAAACTGGAGACAGAATAGGGGAGCAATATTTAAGGGGCATACTATGGTTTGTATCTGGAATGCCCCCAAAGTCTTATGTATTGAAGTCTTTGTCCCCAGTGAAGCCATGTTCGGAGGTCACGTGTTTTGGGAATTGATTGAATTATGAAGGCTCTGATTTATTGGTGGATTAATCCATTGATAACTGAGTGGACTACTGGAAGGTGGTAGAAACTGTAGACAGGTGGGGCTTGGTTGGGAGCTTGTCCATGGAGACTGTATCTTGTCCCAAGCCCCTCCTCCCTGCTTTTGGCTGCAAGGAGCTTAGCAACTTTCCTCCACCACATCCTTCCACCATGTTTCAGCCTTGGAGCCATCTGACTAAGGACTGAAACCTCTGCAACAGTGAGCCCAAAGAAAACTGTTGACTATAGCAATGAAAAGCCTACTAACGGGGTGAAATCATGGAGACTCCTTGATTAGCTTTGGGAGAGTGATGGATGATCATCTAAATGAGGAACTCCCGTTTTCTCCATCCTTTGTCTTAAATTCATTATTCTGATATTGCACATATATTGCTGGTTCTTTAATTTTTATTCTTCACTTTTATTTCCTATTCTCCTTATATTTGTCTTTTTTGCTTTTTTTCAAGAGGTTGACTTTATCTACTAATCCTTTTATTGTTTTTAATTTCTGCCAATATGTTTTTAATTTTTAGGGATTCTGTTTTAGAAAATTTTGGTTGTTTTCAGTTTGGGGCTTTTAAAATAACTATACCAACATTGGGTGTAGTTCTTTTTCTGGGATAGACACCCAGGAGTACGATTGCTAGGTTGTAAGGTAAGCATATATTTAGTTTTATTAGAAATTGCCAAACTATTTTCCAGAGAGACTATATACTGTTTCTACCAACAGTGTATGAGATATCCACGTTTTGTAAAATCTTGGTTTTATAACGTTTGATGTTGTCACTGTTGCTGGTGGTGGTGACTGTGTAAATATTATTTCAGAAATAATCATTGAGATTACTTGTCCTTTCTTATGTTTGTTTTTCCTAGAGTTTTTGCCTTTACTTTATTCTGTTTTTTATGACTAATATAAGAAATTTTTTTACATCACTATTTACAATGTTTCCATTTGCCCAGAGAAAGTTGGTGTGTGTGTGTGTGTGTGTGTGTGTGTGTGTGTGTAGAAAGAGTTTTATATTGTAATTTTGTTTTACATAAATGTTACAATATTATACATATGGTTATTTGACTTGGTTTTTTTTTTCACTTAATATATCTTGGATATCTTTCCATGTTAGAAAACTATAGCTCAACTTAATTATTTTCTTTTAACTCTTAACTAAGTACTTGATATGGTCATATCATAGTATTAATCATTTGTTTGTTTGTTTGTTTTTGGTTATATTAAACCTAATTTGTGCAAATGGATTGATATTTAATTCTTCATAGTCTCCAGTTATAGCTAATTTTAGTTCTTATTATTTTTACCTTTCATTCTTCTCCGTTCACCATAGACATCTGCTCCCATACATTTAATGTGTATCTTTCCAATTTACAGGCTTTATTTTTATTATATGGCATACATTATTTTCTGTGCTTAAACATAGTAAAAGTATTATGCTATTTATCTTTACAACTTTTATCATGCAAATTATGCTTGAGTTCCATCCATATAGATGGATATGTCTACTTTAAAACTTTTAACTGCCGTACAGTAATGTAGCATTTTATTTATTCATTCCTCCATGGTGGTCTTTTAGGTTGTTTCTGACTTTTTGCTGTTATAAACACTGATGCAATGAACATTTTAAAAATATTTATATGTACATGACAGTAGAATGCATTTTAACACGTCATACTTAAACGTTGAGTACAACTTCTCTTTCATCTGGTCATACAATTTAGAGTTACATAGGTCATTTAATCATATATGCACATAGGGTAAAATGTCCGATTCATTCTGCTATAATTTCTAACCCCATACCCCCTCCCCTCTCCTCACTCCCCTCGGTCTAGTCCAAGTTACCTCTGTTCTTCCCCCCACCAGTGAACATTTTTACTGTTGAGTTTTGTTTTTTTTTTTTAATTTTTTATTGTGGGTTGTTCAAAACATTACAAATTTCTTGACATATCATATTCCACACTTTGATTCAAGTGGGTTATGAACTCCCACCTTCACCCCATACACAGATTGCAGAATCATATCAGTTACACATCCATTGATTTACAAATTGCCATATTAGTGTCTGTTGTGCTCCGCTGCCTTTCCCATCCTCCCCCCTCCCCCCTCCCCACCTCTACCCTCCCCTCCCCTCCTCTCTCTCTACCTCCTCCACTGTATAACCCTGAGGGTCTCCTTCCATTACCATGCAATTTCCCTTCTCTCTCCCTTTCCCTCCCACCTCTCATCCCTGTTAAATGTTAATCTTCTTCTCCTGCTCTTCGTCCCTACACTGTTCTTAGTTACTCTCCTTATATCAAAGAAGACATTTGGCATTTGTTTTTTAGGGATTGGCTAGCTTCACTTAGCATAATCTGCTCTAATGCCATCCATTTCCCTGTAAATTCTATGATTTTGTCATTTTTTAATGCAGAGTAATACTCCATTGTGTATAAATGCCACATTTTTTTTATCCATTCGTCTATTGAAGGGCATCTAGGTTGGTTCCACAGTCTTGCTATTCTGAACTGTGCTGCTATGAACATCGATGTAGCAGTGTCCCTGTAGCATGCTCTTTTTAGGTCTTTAGGGAATAGACCAAGAAGGGGAATAGCTGGGTCAAATGGTGGCTCCATTCCCAGCTTTCCAAGAAATCTCCATACTGCTTTCCAAATTGGCTGCACCAATCTGCAGTCCCACCAGCAATGTACAAGTGTACCCTTTTCCCCACATCCTCGCCAGCACTTGTTGTTGTTTGACTTCATAATGGCTGCCAATCTAACTGGAGTGAGATGGTATCTTAGGGTGGTTTTGATTTGCATTTCTCTGACTGCTAGAGATGGTGAGCATTTTTTCATGTACTTGTTGATTGATTGTATGTCCTCCTCTGAGAAGTGTCTGTTCAGGTCCTTGGCCCATTTGTTGATTGGGTTGTTTGTTCTCTTATTGTCTAATTTTTTGAGTTCTTTGTATACTCTGGATATTAGGGCTCTATCTGAAGTGTGAGGAGTAAAGATTTGTTCCCAGGATGTAGGCTCTCTATTTACCTCTCTTATTGTATCTTTTGCTGAGAAAAAACTTTTTAGTTTGAGTAAGTCCCATTTGTTGATTCTAGTTATTAACTTTTGTGCTATGGGTGTCCTATTGAGGAATTTGGAGCCCGACCCCACAGTATGTAGATCGTAGCCAACTTTTTCTTCTATCAGACGGCGTGTCTCTGATTTGATATCAAGCTCCTTGATCCATTTTGAATTAACTTTTGTGCATGGCGAGAGAAAGGGA